CCGCGACGTTAATTAAGTGCAGCGTTAATTTCTGTGCTCTTAATTTCCAGTATTTTAACCCCAATTTTGGAACCTGTCCAGACATTCTTGACACCTAAAAAACATTAACTACAAGCTTTCTTTCTTTCCATTTACCCTTTATTTTTCATCTTTCACAAAAGCTAAGGCGAAGGTTTACAATATTTCGAGTTCATCTTCATCTTTGTCGCTGTCAGAAGTGATGTCAATATCTTTTCCTTTGATTTCGGCCAAGATAGATTTCCAGTTGTCACTACCAACTGTGTCTTAATCGCGTTAATTTCCTTTATTATGAAATTCTACCTCCTCTTTCGCGTTAATTTTCTTTATTCGAAAGTCGTTTTCCATTAAATTCGCGTTAATTTAAGTCGCGTTAATTTCCAATACCTTAATTTCATGGAGCGTTAATTTCCTATAATAAGGTAGTCTCGCATGCGTAAGCAGCGAGACTCATAATCTGCAAGCCGTTTCTCTTCGTATTTATGACACAAAAGGGGGGCCAGGCGTTCCTAGCAGAGACCGTGGAAACTGGGAATAAGAATCATTGCGTGATATAACTAAGCGCATGTTGTGCGAAGAAAGCTTAGGAAAGATTAATTTAGAGCTTTTCCGACACGTGTCGGTCCACGAATTCTATCGCTTGAAAGCGTTGATTACTTTGGAACAAGTGAAAACTACTGAGTGGTCGAAAAAAAAAGAGAATCTTAATTTGCAAAACTGCGATGGTAGGGTGTTGTAAACTTGCATTGTATGCAAATGAATCTTGTGGTAAACATGCGGTTTATTTTCGGCGATGATTGAAATGACGTGCCATGTAAATCACTTTTTTGATCTCTGGCAGTGATGTAATTACTGGGCTGCCTGTGCGCCCAGTCATAAAATGGGCTTTCGGTCGTCTGCGGCGAAAAACAGCCTCCCGGGGGAGGGAAGACACGAGGGTCTGGTACCGAAAAACGATGTTCTCACAAATGGTTTCATATGATTTTCTCTTGCACGAACCCTTGCACGGATACTTTTTGTACCTCGTCTGCGCTCCCCCTGAAAAACCCACAAGGCGTTGCGAACCTGAAGAAGGCTATTTGCGTTGTTCGAAGCGATTCGATCATGGGAGTCACTCTATAATTTTTTTATTGTTCGAGTTTAAGTCAGTTAGATGATGTTGGCGCTGGGAAACTCAGAAAAATGCTCGCGTTGCATTCAAACCGACACGCAGTTCACGGTAGGTTCACACTAAAAGATGACTGTGAACGTCAGGTTTGGAACGCCGTGGCCGCTTCGTGAACTCAAAGAGAGAATTATCGATCGATGTAGTACATGAGCAATTAAGAAGCACAATTCATGAGCATGGTATTTCACCAGTTGACGACACTATGGCTGAAGACTTGATTGTAAGCCTTCGTAGTCAGTGAAGCGAACAACTCAGTTGCCGATGAATGGCACTAGTACTACGCACGTCCATGAGCGAGGGACGTGACAACTTTGCCATGTTAGAAGACTGGCTTTTCCTTTAAATATTTCCTTCTATTTAATGCAACACACGCCACTTTGGAGGTTTAAATTTCGGATACTGAGGATAAAGAAGACACGGACAAAAATAGGGACTCTGAGAATTTCGCACACAAGTTTAAAGCTTCACCGGGACATCCCATCCGGGAGCTTCACAGTGAGCGACTGTAGGAAAATAGGAGCTATTACTGACAAGGTTTGGTGACTGAGTAGAGCATACAAGTGTAGCCCACGTCGAGGTTTCAGGGGGTTTGCTTTTGTTTGTATTTGTATCTTGCTAAGCTTTTATCATTAAATTTGTACATGATCTTGTGATCACAATTCGCCCATTCAGCAAGCACGCTATATTGATGTCAGCATTAGCGAGTTTCAGAAAAATGCCTTTGAAAGTTTTCAGCTCTCGTGATGTTTCTTGATATTTCTTTTACCATTTTATGGAGATGTAAACTGAAGTCACCGCAAAATGGAAACTTAAAAAAGCGTATAATCCATTTATCTCGAAACGTAACACACGTGACTTATACGACCTTTATTTTCGTAAAGGTGTTTTGAATACGAACGAACACAGTCAATGTGAGGGGCAAAAACAGCAGTAATATAAATGAACCACAGGATTTTAACTAATATAAGGGTCAATTATTGTGCATTGAGATGAATCGCTTGAAAAGAGAGACTTCGCTTGAAGATGTGATCAGAAGTAAACAAAGGCATAATAGTGCGTCACGTTCAGTCTTTTTAATATCCGAGGAGTCACTGTGAATAGTGTTTCCATATTGTTTAGCTGGCACAAAAACTTCGGACGAGTTATAAAGCGGCATAGTTATCTTCCATGAAGAAACGTTCGTCTTGGGTGAGACAAACAGAACTGGAGCGAATTTTTAAATCGCATCGGTATCAGGTAAAAAATATGTTATCGATCGTTTCATCTATTCACATTGTTTGAAGTGCGTGCTGGTGAATGCAACATGCGAGCGAGAAATCTTTATACTTTTTTAGGTCTCAAAATGCAAAGGATTTTATTCCTTTAAGTTAGAGAAAAATACCAAGAGGAAAATCTTAAAACTGAATATTTTTCATCTTGTGGAAAAAATAGTGCGTTTTCTTGTAGACTGTGGACCGCAAATTAGGATCGCACTTTTCACAAACATGCGAATTCTGAAGTTCAGAAGCCAACCGACGATTGAGTTTTTCGCTGCTGTCAATCATCTTAACGGACCTCTTAGGAAACAAAACTTTACTTCACGGGTTCAAAAGGTCATGGTTTGTGATTTGTCGATTTCGATCCACTTTGTGTGTGTCTCTGTTTCAAGGTTCGTTGCTTGTGATCGTAATTATGATTGACGGCAGCGATAAACACAATTGTGAAGGTGGCTTTTGAACTTTAGAGTTCGCATGTTTGTGAAAAGCGCAGTAAAGTCTCCGTGCAGTCAGTGAGGCCCCTGGATCAGGAGGGATCAATGGGCAGTTAACTGTCTGTTTTAGTATACTTCTGGTTTTCATACAATACAATATTTCTGTCTAGTGTAAATCAGCTCAGTCTGTCGCATTTTATGCTCGTAGAACGACAACAATTTTTGGAATTTCCAGTTACGTCAAATTAGTCACGTTATACTGTCACGCTATATTTTGGGGCACAGAGGGATTGGGGGAGAGGTATGTGGAAATAATGCAAATTGTTTCCTGCTTAGAATTAATGGCTAACTTGTTTATTTTTATTCATAATGGTGGAATTTAAAAGTTATTATACAGCCCCCACTTTAAAAATGGTACTCTTTTTTTTTGGTTGCGAAAGTCTTTAAAAAGGGTACAATGTTCTGAATGAGTTTATGTTTCAGTCTCAAAATAATTATGAGGTTCTGTCGCATGCAATGGTTGCCGACAAGGTTTTATGGTAGCCTGAGTGTGTATAGCCGCCCCCTCCCTTCAGAAAAATTAGCCCCTTTGCAGACCAGTTAAAAATCGCCTTTCGGCGATTCTTGTTTCTCTAGAATTAGGGCCCTTGAATTTTCGTTTATTTATACACGCGTATAGCCTGCGACAGCACACATATTTCCGGTCGTCACTAACACGCGTACTAAATCAATTCAGAAACAAATAAAAAGTAAATATCCTGAAGAATACTCGACGTCGATAAAGTAGGAAGTGAATAACCTTTAGCGAGTAAATCCTGTTTCGTTTAGAATTAATCGCCTCCTTATTTCTCGATCTAATCTCCAAGAAAACGAGACTGAACGTCGCTGTAAGAGAGTTCTTGTTTCGAGTAACGTGTAGTCATTTTTTAAGCGATCCAAATTGACCCGAATATCTCATTTCCCCTTCTACTGCAGCATGTTTTCATTGATCTTCGTGTTTGTTTTGGCAGACTTCTTTCCAAAATTGTGACCGACCTTTCCAAGCTGACTGTAGGCCGTCTGAGGCCCAGTTTTATGGCTGCGTGCAATGCTAATCTTACAGCCGGAAGCTGGTTGCCAAGGTTACGTTACAAGGGATGTGTGCACCGGGGATCTTTTTGAAATAAAAATCGCCAGGTATGAAATAATGTGAGACCTTTGGAGTCAAACCTCGTGACCTTCCTTGTCAGGGCACAGTATGCACTTAAGGTTTGAAATTGATTATAACGTAGCTAACTCAAGTAAAAATGAAGAACTATGGCACCTATCAGCCAGGAGCATCGGGCAAAGGAAAAATCAGAATTCTCTAAAGTAATCAAAACCATCAATTTCCAGGAAGCAGTTGGACAATTCATCGGGTACATACGTGAATGCATACTGAATACTGAAAGAACCAGAAAAATTATACGCTTTCAAGTAAGAGGTACAACGGCATAAAACAGACAAACACTGAGCAAAAAAAAAGATTACATGTAAATGACTTTTAACGTCGAAGTATCGTCAGAAGCCAAATCATAGCGATTAATGGGCCTATATAATCAGTGTGATGTCTTTTTTTTCTTTCTTTTTAATTATTTTACAGAATGTCTTTTCCGGACACTCAGCTATTTCCATGTATGGATGCTGTTCTTGGCGGTAAGTTAAGTATAGCAACCTAAGCTCGCCATATCACTGATATTTTTGGCAGTGAACTGAAACATATACCAGAATACTAAATTCTATAGGTGTACGAAGGAGCTGGAAGATTTAGACTCAACAACGGGAATGAGATACGTCTGCGTTCGCAGGCGGCAGGACGTGGCAGGGGTATTTGGCAGAACGCCGAATGACTCTGAAGTTTAGATTCATTTAGAATTCATTTAGGGTCATTATACTGGGCAAACTTACCCGAAACCTGATTCACTCAGTTTCCTAATCCTATCAGTCACTAAACTTCAGGATCATTCGGCGGTCGGCGTTCTGCAAAATGCCCCTGTCGCGTTCGCCGGCTAGATGTAACTTTCTCCTGCATCGGTGGGAGGAGGGGGAGGGGGAAAAGCTGTTTTGCATAGGAGGAGGAGGAGGAGGAGGAGGAGGAGGGGAGTGGTGGAGGGAGACGCTACAAGTAAGTTCTATAGGTTGACCAGCCCTCGTTCTTCATCTCCTAAGTTATATCTTCAAGCTGCTGTGAGGACAGAAACTAAATTACTCAAGCCATTGCTGCAGGTCGTTGCTGTCTCGCTGTCCCTGTTCGTTGGCTGGAGCCGCATCGCTGATGACAAACATTTTTTAACCGATGTTTCGGCCAGGTTTGTACTTGGAGCCATTCAGTTTTGCATGGTTTGTGGTGAGTCAGGCGCTGCATTTGCTGTAATCAAAACTAATCAGTACAACCTTAGCACAGGGCAAGTTTGCTCATGCACTTTATACCCAAATCTGAACAGCCCGATTTTGATTTAACATAAATACGAGGCTTTAGGGACAACATTGAAAATTTTTCACGATTCCATTGCATCGTAATTCTCTGATCGACTTGAGCACAAAGGATGATCAAACCAAACACAGAAACTATGACCAGAAAGAATTTTACACAGAACGTGGGTTATTATGAGTACCCTTTACTTTTCTGTCGAAGACCTTGCCCTTTGTTGTGAAGCCTAAACTCGCACCGGCCCGAGATTCATACCGGGATGACTTGGGTCATTTCATATCTCGTTATTGAAGGTACACTTCATGTTGATAAAATACACGTGTAATTCAAAATCGCAAACATTACGCATGCGCTACCCGTTCTAGTCTACCAGCAAACTGATTTCACACCGAAAGGGGTGGTCGTTTCGTGTTTACATGATACCGTTGCGAGATTTCGTACCGGAGTGAAATTCTCGCCCCGGTATAACAACCGGGGTGAACTCACGCCGGGGTGACTCGCGCCGGCATGACATTTTTGTGGTGGTATCATGTAAACAAATACATTAAAAACCCGCTTATAAGAACCTAAGCTTTAAGAACCTGTTAGGCTAAAATTTTTATTTTAAACTCCCTTTTTATGAGAACCTATTTAGCTTAAAATTTTCAACAGGTTCTTATTTTTACAAAAATGAAGGAACAAATGAAACACAGAAAAAAAAATTTTTAGTCTAGGTTTCAGTCAATAAGATACAAACAATAAACAAAAATGAAAACCATATCATGTCTTTGCCAATACTGGATAACACAAAGCAATTATTAAGAATACGCTACATGAGATCCATGTGTCTCTCTCATAGTTATCTGTGCTGATCACTACTGCCCCTATCAAATTAAGAACCTTTTTAAGAACCTAAGTAGCCTAAAATCCCACTAAATGCCATTTCAGTAAGAACCTATTAAGGCTAAGTTGAAAAAATCTCGGTTCTTATATATGGGTTTTTACTGTATGCAGTCATGAGAGGAAACCGGAGCGAACTCGCTTCTAAATTCTAATGGTTGGTTCTTCTATAAACTGCTCTTTTCTGAAGATAGAGAAAAAAGAGAAGGAAAAAAGTTGACCCTCACTACCCGGACGCTTTCTCCTGTGAGTCAGGTCACTCCAAGGAGCACACTTATTACCCATCGAATAAATCAGATAATAGCAGGTGGTTCTCTCTTTTCTTTTTAATCGCAGGCGCTCAAGATCCTGAAGTTCTTTGCTGTTTGAATCCCCAAGCTAAAAGTATACACACTGTTGCCACAGCAAACAGCAACAGCGGACAACTGGCACAGGTGAATGAAACTACTTGATGTATTTTCTCCGTAGTTTTCTTCAACGGAAACTTGAAGCATTTTACGTCCTTTAAAAATAGCCCATATGTTAGCGTGCGTAACCTGCGTGACAGACTCAAAATGGGAGAAGGAAAGGAGGCGGAGAAAAACGCGAAAGGGAAAAGAAGAAGAGAAAGAAAGCTAGAGTTGCTCTCTGCTACGCCTCCAGCAACTCTCTTACGCTTCTCTCGTGCTCTCCACACATCCCGCATTCATATGATAACTCTATATACGCACGCTAAGCATGAACCAATTCTTATGGGATGCATCAACTTGAACTACTTTGATTTTGAGAATTTAGTGACGTTTTTCAAACTTTAATACTAGAGAGGTTTTTTTACGTTTAGATAAACAAATTCAACTAACCTAAGGGAAAAATACTTGTTTACAATACATTGGCATATTAGTCACCATTCATCGTATCGTTAACTCTAGCTACTAATAAACAATACAACTAAACGAAAGGTTGAAATACGTACACCTATTGCAAGTATAGTGTGGCAAGTACTGATTCAGTTGCAGTAAATATCGTATTTCCCCGAATGAGAGCGGGCGCTTATTTCAGTTTTCAGCTAAAAAAAGGATGGGCGCTTATTACGTTTTCATTAAACGGACTAGAGAATGGTCTAATTGTTCCTGAGAACTTGGGCGCTTATTCGAGAAAATACTGTAACAATGGTTTCTAAAGATAATAATTTACTGCCAGATGTTACTAGCGATTACAGTCAAACCAGGTCAAGCGTTCCTGTCGCTAATAAACTAATGAATTCATTCACGGAAAAATGATTTCGTTTGTTGATTCAATATTCCATTCATAAAATGAACAATCCAATATTCATATTTAGCCTCGATTCCATAATCGAATGTTGATTCGATTACTGTTTTTTGAAAAACTACACCTTCCACAAGTTGACCTCTGAATTTTGTTTTTTCCTCTTTTTTTCTGAGAGTCGAGTGCGGGTGAGTTCTGAAGTTCAAACCCAAACAAACTGTTACATGTACGCCAGTTTGCTGCCAGTAATCAGTGCAACAGACCTAGGCCTGACCTCTTAGAAAACACGACGGTCAAACTGAGGTCAGTGTATGTGTGGTGATTGGTGGATTTCGATCCTCGGCCTTTGTCAGTTTCTTTGCGTTTGCGGTCTGTCTATTCTAGCTGTTACCTACCTAGTATTTTGATTACAGGCAATGAAAAACGCAGTCGTAAACGGCAGGAAAAGGGAACCAAATACGATTGAACACAACAGACAAGAATAAAGAACAGGTAGATTTTGTTCATAAACCAAATCAACTTTTAATTATTGAATTGAGGTACAATTTGACTGTTGGATTATTCATTTTATGAATGGATTATAGAATCAACAAACGAAATCATTTTGCCATTAATCTATTCATTAGTTTGTTAGCGACGGGAACGCGTGACCTGGTTTGACTGTAAAAGTCTCGTCTTCAGTCCTCTTTTACCATGTAAGAAGCGATCGATCGTTTACTTTTTGTTTTCAATGCATCTAAAATTTTGAGAAAAGCTCTAAAAGTTTTCTTCTAACCGCTACATAAACAAAGCATCTAGGATAACCTACCATATGGCGTTTTCTTTCCATGCCATCATCACTATGGGTCAAATTAGGGCCTATGTACAAGAAGGGAGGATGTTCCTTGCTGGGAGATCAGTTTGCAGCTACTTTTAAAAAATAAAGTCGAGCCCTTGTAATCATCACTTGATTGTTATCATGATTATATAAACACATGAACAGAAGCCGGGAAAAAGTCAAAGTAGTTGTCTTCTGCCTTTGGGGCTTCTCATGTTTTCACAGTCTCAGGTAATCTTGTAACAAAAGCCTTCTATCACGTGCCACTCTAGCAGCTTTCAAAGTGCGTCTATAGGCTGGGGGACGATGATGGCAAATATAATTTACGTCCTTATAAGGTGGTAAGGAGGTTGCACCAACGAAGAATAATGGGATAGAGAGGGTAACAGCCATTCTACTGAGCCCTTGGGAGTGATGAGTTTTTCACCAAAGTTATTTTTAGATCAATCAAAAGCTTGAATTAATCGGGAAGTAGGGTTCCGGAGAGGTCCGCAAACTAGAATTCAGTCTAGGCGAGAGGAGAACTCAACAGTCGCCATAAATTACTGACAAATAGTCTGCATTTTTCACTTTGACGACTTGATTTCTGGACTTAAGTAAAATTTGTGGACGTCTCAGGATTTAAACTTCCGTTTAATTACAACCTCTGAAAAAACCTCTGGTGAAATTCACAAATCCTGGCCAACGCTCCAAGAATCCCTCTCTGTTACATTTCAAACGGAGTAAAGGATCTTTCAGAAATATTCTCTCTCTCATTGCTTCTTGGAAGAAGTGAATATAAGCTCAGTACCAATGGAAAGTCGGCCTTAGCGACCATTTAACTTCGTTACAAAACTAAATGAAACTTTTTTTCACCTAAAGAGGCAAATTTACAAGTCATACACTATGGCTTAAACTATTATTATATTCTGGTTTTACCCCGAAAATGTGTATTTTATCTTTTACGTACGTGTCATACACATTTCTCAGAATTTCGACTTTTCGACTTTCGTCCTTTTCAGATTTTTAAGACTCATAAGCCGAGTCGCACTTTGAAACATTTTCAGGAAACTTTTCAAAATATAATGAACATTTATCGCGGAAATTTGTAAGCACAACATTCACAGCTTCGATATCCGACTCTGCAACATCTGGCAGACACTGGTTTGTAGGAACATATTCAGCACATGCCGCCAAAATTGTCTCCCCAACACCTTCCTCTCTCAAATTATCTCTGCTGCCTAGGAAACCTGATAAGTTTTGGAACATAACCATGCAGTTTTGACATGGACGTTTTTCGGTTTTGTATCCCACGGGCTTAAACCAAAATGATGAGGAATTCCAGTGAATATTATCTTCAGTTTCTATAGGTTGAAATTTTACAACAGCTTTCTTGAGGCCCTGTTTAAAATAAGAAATTCGCTTGTACAAACAGAGAGGTCTTAAAAAATGACTCACTGCCATTGATGATCCAACAAACCATTTGCCATTATGGGACACGTGCGTCAACACCTTGGGTTTGAACGTGTTCTTTGCTTCAAGTGTACTGAACCAAACTTTTGCCCTCGACATCACAGTGTTAGCATGACTTTCGCTGCCCTTTGGACAATCAATACACTCTGTTATGTCACTTAGCTGGAATAATAAAAATATAAAAGAAGGTCATTATCGTTTTATCAGTGAGTGTATTGTTCCCGTTCAAAAGTATGAACTAGTAATTGTTGAGTCTACCGCTGCCTGCTGTGTATATTGTCGTATATAGAGAGCGCTGGTCGTTGTGTAGCTCTTTGAAATATGCCGATTAATAATGAAGATTTTCACACATAATCTATACAATAGGTGAGAGTAAAAACAGGAAACGAGAGGTTCCATGCACTGTTTCAGTTCTATTTACACAGGTTTGATCTGAAAACATTCTCAGTTTCGAGAATAGACCAAAATAAACCGTAAGAAAAGATTTAATTAGAAGTTGGAATTCTTCGCTAGTATTTCTCTTTCTCTTTTTACAGACAGTTCATTTTACTTCAGTGCCGTAGATAGCGGGGGGCAAGAGGGGCATCTGCCCTCCCTGGACCTTTTGAGCCAGACACTGAAAACTTAAAAGTCTGTGGATGGATTCGTTTTCTTTAGACTCAGTTATTTTGATTATAGTGACTTGCAATTGTTTGCCATTTTCATATTCAAGGTCGATTTTTCGGAGACATATCTCATGACAAGTGCTGAAAATAGCGTCTCGGAGCCTCCAAATTTGAAAATTTTCTCGGGGACGATACCCCCAGACCCCGCTACAAGGCTCATGCCTTCGGCAATTGTGATATCCCCCCCCCGTTACAAAAAACCTAGCTACGGACCTGTATTTGTCGGAAAGTAAGCCTTAGAAATTAAAAGGTTTGATCAATTCACGCTCGCACGTTGTAGCCAATTTTAAAACTTTATCAAGTAACTGCACTGAAGCACACGTACCAACTCCGCGGTAGGGCCAGTACTATAAGCATGCCGTGGGAAAACTGCTTTGCAGTTCCGAACCAACAGCTACCACTTGTTTACGGTGGAGCTGGCGCTTAAAGCAGTGCTTACACTCACATCGGCCGTAAAGGGTCTTTCATACGCAAGTTAACCCCCGCTCATTGACCCGACAGCTATACCATGATGGTGAGCCCCAACAAGGGCGAAACATTCTCCTTCACTGGCGAAAAGTGTTTACGCATGCGCCGCGACAAAAATCAAGTGGTCAATTTCCGGTAAAGTCATTGGCTTAGAGGCAAAATCCCCGCGAAACAGATGAAAGAAGAAATGGCAGTTTTTTTTGTCAGTGGTAGTGTTGTGGTTTTTTAGCCACTGTGAGAGATCGAAAATTATTTTGGTCGAAATTTTTAGTGATATGTGTTGTCTAGTAGATAATGCATCCTGGAACTGTCAGACAAACACACTGGCTCGATCCATTTATCCGAGATCGGAGTTGCGATCGCTGGATGCGAGGAGAGGACATGCTAAAAAGGTGGGTAATTTTCTTCTTTTATGTTTAGTGCAAGTCTCGTGCAACTCGGTACAACAAGAAATTATATAGCAGTGGAAGAAAAATTCTTGGGCGTTGTTTTGGTATATGATTTAGCGTGTACCGAGTTGCACGGAAGCAGCAGTTTTGTAAAACGCGTAGACCCTTTTTGTGCTCTAAATCGACACCGTGTTCTACAGCTTGGCTGCCATTCGGTTTGCCCTCACGTCTGTTAACATTTAGACACCTTTGAGTTTTTATGCATGGTTCAAGTTAAACGCAACATAGCACTACACAACAGAAAATTAAAAAGCAGAGGGATAAATTTGATTTAGCTTGCACTTAGTTGCAGGAAAGAGGTAGCTTACCGTTCGGGCGCGTTTTCATTGATCAAAACAAAAGTATTCTGACTGCTA